TATCGATGGCCACGAGTTCTCCGTGGTTGCTGCTGATGGTGAGTATCTCCAGCCGTCAGAGGAAATCACCACACTGCGTATCAATGCTGGTCAAAGGTACGACATCATCGTCGAAGCAAAACCCGCTTCTAGTTTCAAAATGGGCTCGTTCTGGATCCGCGCCACTGCACTTTATGGTCTCCCGTGGACTGCAGGTACAGCTTCGATTGCTGGCGATGGATTCAACTACGAAGGTCTGGCTGTTGTCGACTATGAAGACGACGATACCGCTGACCCAACGTCGTTAGCCTGGACGGAGACAACCACCATCGAGGAGTTTGACTTCACTCCACTTGAGATTTCGGTTCTACCCACAGTTCCTTCAGACCGCCCGATTCTTGAGTTCGACTTCCGCCGTGGACTCGGATATTTCTCCAATGACGGCGCTGATTATCTCCATTTTGCTGCTCCAGAGGAACCCCCTCTCTTCAGTATTGCTTCTGGTTTAAAAACGGAGGAACTTCCGGCTACAGCACTCGCTAGGAAAATCGAGTACGGGAAACATGTTGAGGTGGTGCTGGTGAATGATATGAATGAACAGCATCCGTTCCACATGCACACACACGCACCGTGGGTTGTTGGGAGTGGTGCGGCGTCGCTTTCGGACATTCAGGCCGGTAACATTCCCCTGAAACTGCAAGGAGCCATGAAACGCGACGTGTACACAGTTCCTCCGTGCGATACTGACGCGACTGGCGCCTGTACTAACCACGGATACGTTGTCCTGCGCTTCACCGCTGATAACCCTGGTGTCTGGATCATGCACTGCCACATTGACTGGCACCTGGACGCTGGGTTGGCGATGATTCTAGTCGAAGGTGAGATTGAACTTCAGAAGGCAGGGGTTGGTGCTTTTGCCAACAGTATACTGAGTATCTGTGGCACTGAGTTCACAAACTCAACCTCTTCAAACTCCACCGCATAGTCGCGGTGACAACCAACAACAAATTTCTACGAGCGAGACTGCATGCATAGCCTGTTATCTTCGCATTCACTTGTCAATAAAGCACTAACCGTCTGATCAACCTTCGATCAGTTCATTCACGATAGTATCTTTAATTGTTGGTACTTGTACATTTTTCTCTGCAGGAGTTTTCGTATCGTTCTGGAAGCTCGAAAGTGAGACTCACGCGTACTTTTGGGAACACCGTCGGCTTATGTGGAATACTAAACAACTCAGCAAAGCTCGGACACGGAAAACACAGACCTGAATACACGTTCACTGAAGTTTGGCGGATCGGCTGTGTCAGCGTTGCCGAAGTGAACGTAACTCGAGCAAGCACTTCAGTGTAGAAATGTCGCTGGGGAGGTTGGACGATGCTCTGGGTCTGTTGAGGTGGAGTGTCGTTCGTCTTGTTGTTTTTCATGTTTCGAGCACGAGCATGCCATTCACACGTGTTGGTTTGAGAATCATAAATAATATTCGGAATAGCGTGAAGTAGTGAGCTGCAGCAATCGATAAAATGTGGCGTTGCAAAGTAGCATCTTGTCTTGCTTTTGGGACTGTTTTGAGGAGAGTCACGGGACGGAATACGTCGGTAAAGTTGCAGCGCGCATTCACCCGATGGTCGAGTCCTGATCACGCGAGCCACTTGAGCATGGTCTTCAGGATCCTCAAAAGATAGTGCTGGAAGAGCTTCCAACGATAAAAAATATACAAACGCGCCTTCATGAAACTCATTGGTATCCGATGGCAGATGCTTCTTCTCTAACTCTACGAGCAACTTCGGCTTGTCGGGAAGACTCGCTTTTGACACCGGATCGTTTTTCCGTGCGAGTACATACGGCGAAGCTTGAGGCAGTTGTGATTTTGTATTGACAGTTGCTGAACGAGCCATCGCAATGGTTGACCGCGTTGGTTTTGCGTAGTTAGGAGTCAACGGTCGAGTCGCAACTCCTCGGGTTTGGGAGGTCAGCTGAATGGTAGGGGCCGTGTTGGTTCTACTTCGTGTTTTCGGTTGAGATATTTTCATAACACCCTCGGAGTCTTCAGTCGTATCTGACATCATCTGCAGCAGCTTGGAGAAGAACGTGGCGGCAGGATCGTGCTGGTCATCAGTGCTTAGTAAAGAGTTAAAATTGCTCGATTGTAGTGGGCCGGGTGACGTAGTTTTCTTTGCTGGGAATGGTGTCGACGGTGGTGAGCACTCAAAGGATGTGGATAGTGAGCGTTGGCGAGTGCTGGTGGTACTGATTTGGGGAGAATAAACGCGCTTGGCTTGCAAGAAGGGACTATTTGCTGTCTGTAAGAAAGCAAACCGGTAGTAAGTATCCGCAAAAAAATACCTACCCAGCAATTCATAATCATACTGTTTTTTTCACTTGGATCAGGAGCAGCTCAATTGCTCCAGGTACGGAGTTGGCGAGATCCTCCTGGTGCCTGCGTGAAATTCCACACTTGAGACGCGTAAGTACTTTCCCTAAATTAAAAAAAAAAAAACTAACAGGTTAGTATCGATGTTGTCGTAGCACGGTGACGTTAGCTGGGGCATTTCTTACGGTTTAGCGTTTCCCAATTACTCAGTTTTTGCTGGAAGCGATGCGCAGATGGATAATTGTGAAGCTGGACCCAAGCCGGGACCAATTGAGCCAGAATTTCAGCCAGCAATACTACACAAAATTTTGAATAAATAAAAGTAAATGGGGGAGACTTCAATGCATTCCTTTTATACACACCGGCATCACTAAAATCTCGTGCTGTATTTTTCACCGCTCTTGAAAAGTGAAATTGGTTAAACCAGTTGTACATGTCGTTCATCCCTCGTGGCATCTCGTCGCTCTGTTCAAACGTCATTGCTACCACCCGCCAGGTCCACAACTGATCACAAACCACCGTTCAAACCCCAGGATAAGAACGGCAAAAGCAATTTTCATGCTCGCTATTTCGGGTCACTGCTAAGAGCATCGCACATTTTGTATGGCGATAGATATCCAGCGTGAATTCCACCAAACAAAATATTACAAGTACTGACTTTGGGTACCATCTTGTTTACTATCATATTTTAGGTATCCCGCTCTTCAACCTCACTTTTGAGCTAGCGGGTACCACCAAACTCCACAAAAACGAGAAGACAAAATGCTGCAGCGACTGGATGAGATCGCACGGACACGGGTTGCAGCATCTGGTTGCTATGTCTCGCCCGAGATTATAGAACCTGAACAAAGGTCTCAACAGCGAAGAGCAGCGCAAAGAACCAGAGCATATTATGACTCAGCGACAACTCGGATTTTCTTGCTCAAAAATCTAATAGCGAAAACAAATTCTCCAATTCACATTGACAGAAGCAGCGCAAGGCATTCAGCTCACTTCAGCCACGTGATGCAGCGGGTAAGGCCCGTCAAATACGAAACGAAGGGTACAGGTTTCGTACCGCGGGAAAAGATACCCGCGTCTGAGCTCCGGAGATTCTACCAGAACCTGCCGATAAAGATGTTATAGGTATCGATCTCCCTTCATTGAAAGCAAAGTCCTTCACGTATCTACTCCAGAGCTTTAAAATGACAACTAAGTGATCAAGCGCATAGACTTGGTGAATGTTTTAAAAGGAAGATTTTGTCGAATGGTCATGCCCGGACATTGTTGCTGAGTGACGTGGCGCTCTTGATAAACAAGAAAGCCAAGCAACTGCATTATTTCAATAGTTACTCATTTCAAACACGAGGTGTTCCTCAAACGATCGCGTATGGAAGTTATGGGATGCATAGATGCCATCACCGAGTAGGCCATGGCGAGGACGTAGTGCATGTGGTGAAGTGCTTGTGCGAGATGCTGCAGGAGAGACCCAAAACCGATAAAGCTAGTATTTGCGCCAAAACCGAAATTTACGAAAAAGCCCGAACCAGGTAAATTCCAGACCTTGTTGGCATCAATACTATAGGATCGTTACGATTTGCACCCGGGACGGTTGAGGCTAGTGCGCGCTGCAACACAGGCGCTCTACTGAACGCGCTCACATTCGAAGACGACAAATTCAAGTGAAAACGTCACATGAAAATTCCAAGGCAATGTTGTAGTTCGGAAAATTACAAACTTCAACATTTCATTTGCGTCGAGGCGAAGATTCTGGATCCTTAGCAAAAGAAAGGAAACGTGGTGAACATGGATCATATAGCAACTCGAGACACGCACGGCGCTCCACGCACGGAGATGAAGAAGATGGTAATAACACAAGCTCTAGCGCCTACTATTAAGTAAAGACACTTTGTGAGGAGTAGGATGACAGATTATCGTATGCTATTTCTTAATTTTCCGCTCGGAACTAGGCAAAGTTAACTCTGCGCGAGGATGTATCAACTAAAGTCGCCAAGCGTAACCCGCCAGTAATGACGAAGGCTGTGCACTCCGTTTGTTTCCTCTCCTCTTCAAGTGACGAGTCAGACGGTGGTACGGTGGCTACAAGTAGAAGAAGCAAGCTGCGTCGCCGTACAAGCCTCAAAACTGCTAAAGGTGCGAGTCGGGCTGGGTCTGGGAGAAATTTCTTTGGTATTGACCGTAGCTTTGGCTAGGTGCTACCTTCACCCGAAGTTATCCAAATCAGCCGCGCTTTCGAAGGCAACACTATCAATTGTGCGCTTTGCAGCGAATGTTTTGCTGAGGTTACGTTACCAAGACACCGAGAGCTGGTTTTTCACTTTGAAGTATTATAATCGCCTCCTTGCATTCGAAGACATTTCTACTCATAAAGCACTTTACCAACGACCATGGATCAGCTAATTACGCAGCTAACTCTGTGTGTTTTGGACTTCCTTCGTCCGAAACTCGGAGACACGTGCGGGTGCACCTTGTTCCCCACTGGTTCATCCTCCTGCTCTGCTATAATCGTCGTCTCACGCACAGATCTCCCGTTTGTCCGGCCAGTGGCAATTGAAAAGTTCGACATGTTACTCGCTCGTTCAATAGTAGAGAGACCGCCGTCGGTCGCTTGGCTGCTTCGCTCGTCGGTATCGTCACCGGGACTTTGGCCACGCAGACCGAGCATAATATCGATCATACTGGGCCCAATCTGGTCGGAACGGAGCGTCACGCGGCCGTGAGTCTCGAGCTCCAGCGTGCGTAGCTGCAAAGTTATTAACAACAGTTAGCAATTTTTCTCTAAAATCTACAAAAGTTCTCCATCTTACCTTCTCGACGTAAGTTTTACGTGGAGCACTAGCCGGTCTTTTCTGCAGTACATGACGATATGCGTGTTCGAGACTCCACTGCTCGACTACCATGAGGTAGGCGATACACACCACTGCACTCTCGTTGTTGCCGTGAGTGCAGAAGACAAACACCGTCTTGTTGTCCGAACGAGCGATCTGAATGAGTTTGTTAGCGTTCATAATGTTGCTCTTGAACTCGTCGTAGGAGAAATCGTCGTCTAGTTCGATGCTCCCCGTTTCGATCGTCGGATCCACCGTCAGCTCCGAGTGCGTTGAACGCTTTCGAGGGTTCTCAGCGTCAATGAGGCACGTGACTTGCAGGTTTTTCAGTAGCTGCTCGTCCATCGCGTGCTTCACTGATCCCATGAGCAAGAAGCTCTCCACGACGCCAGGAACGTCGAGCCTGTAGCAATGTACCGAAGGAATAAGCTACCAGTGCTATATCTTCTCCTTCCATTGCCAGCAACTCACCTATCGGCGTCACACGCTGGAGTCTCGGGTGCAACACGGTCAACGTCAATTGTTGTCATGCTTCCTCTACTCTACACCCTCTGGCCGGTTCCCAGTGCGCAGGAAGTCGCTGATTCACAAGTGAGCCGTTGCGTGGGTTTTCGACCGGTCTTTAGCGCCCTTGACAAAGGTACGTGCGAGTCTCAATTTGCCCCGTCATCACGACGGACGACACCAGGACGTCCACCCTTGATTTCCAAGTCAGCGGCTCAACTGACGCCCCGAGACTGTGAGCTCACACGCGGTGAATGCAGATGGGGGCACTCAACCGCGTGGGTGACGCCGATTCCCACACATCAATGGGTCCAGCTGGCGATTTGTATCATCGCCATCATCGACACAAAGCGAAATATCCTGGCAGTACCCTGTCGATCGAATTGAAGCTGCCGGGCTCATAATAATCGAAGCAGACCTCAAGTCGAGGGCCAATATGCATGATCGTTGCTGCATTTCCGCCCTGCAGTGCAAGACGCGTGCAATTTTGGTCCGCTTGGTGCGACTGCCGCAATGTGTCGACAAGTGGACCGTACACCTCGTAAAACGTGATAACGTTCGGTTCGATCAGTTGTGACGGGCGACTTGAGCGACCTTTAAGGATCGCGAGGGTATCTTCTACACAAAAGCAGACTATGCAACGCCACGTACATTTTCGAGAGGATGTGGACGACGACGGAGAGGTCGTTGAGCTGCATCCGCTGTTGCAATGGGATATGGCGGCTATAACCTGGCTGGTGCAGCAGAAAGAGGTGCGTTCGACAATTTTTGAGACAGTTAGGGCCTTTTGATTCAAGGTGAATCATGTGTGACTGTAGGAACGTCCGTGGCTGCGGCGACTTGTGCACTCGACGACATCTCGCCGTCGCACGCAAGACATTTCGTTGCTAATATGGTACGTCGACAGTTAAATTGTCCGTGAATTGCGACAATTTTGACAAATTTCGCTGTAGGTTCGTGTTCATCACGATGATCCCGGAGTTCGGGTTCCCATATTTCTGGATGTGTATTGGGAATCTGTTAGCCGTGGTGATTCTACAGTACCTGGCTAGAAATCCTCGACCAATTGATCTGTACAATCCGTTGTGGCAGTCGCAAGACCGACGTTGTGTCGATGAAGACACGGGAGGATTCCCGTGTGTCGACTGTCACATGGCTGTGGTGGTGTTCCTACCAGCCATTCTACACACCCAGTCCGTGGTGGTGCAGTTAATGTTTATGGCGATAGTCCTCTACATCGCGCTCTGCAAATTGCTGCTGGCCACGCGGTTCATTTCACAGATACTCGGCAGCTGGCTCATGGGCTTCACAGGGATCCTCATCGGCAACCACGGACATGTCGTGGTCAAGAGTTACAAGCTGACGCGGGGCTACAAGTGAGTTGAATGCTGGTGGAGGTTAAATATTTATTTTAACTGTAATTGATGTCTAGTATTGCAGCGATTGTGGCGCTTGTGGTGCTGGCCATGCTGGTACTAGGCATGTGGATCGAAAATAACGACAGCAGCTTGATGGGTATCCCCAAGCGAGACTTCATGGAAGTCTTCACCAATATCCTTAACTCGGACGCACCTAATCCAGCGACGCCAGGCCCAGCACAAGTGCATCAACTACCTGGTAAGCCGACAATCCCCACACGCCAGCGAAAACACTTCGTCAACGATGACGAAGAAGTAGCAGGCAAAAGAGATTCGTTCTATTTCCTTGTCAGGGGAATGCGTGCAAGAACGCTCGCAGCAAGGGAAAAATCGTGAAATTTGCGGTCTATCTAGTTTTCCGAGCACCGGTTGAGCGCATCTTCGACCTCTCCACGCATGGCCTTGGACACACGCGGGAGGATCGAGCCCTTACCCACCCAAATATTCATACGAACTTGCTCATGTGTCTGAACGCGGACAACCGCAGGGCCAATGGCCATACCTTCGAGTGTCTTGTGCAAGTCCGGCGATAGCGTGTCGAATGCAACGTGCTGTTCCGCGTTCTTGATGAGATTGGAGAAGTCAGTAATGGGGATATCCAGTCGCCGTTTGGTGAAGAAATCGTCAAAGAAGCCGAGACTCTCCTCCGACGGACGGTAGAACACTTCTCCGCGCTCAGTCACCTTGGTGAAGACCTTGAGACCCGTATTGACGATCTGTATCCAGTCATCCACAGCATAAATGAAACTGTATAATACAGGATAGCGTAAGTATAAAGTACGTACATCAAGGGCATCACCTCCCAAGCAGGCGTCAGAAATCTCCTTGTCCACGTAGTTTACCGTGGCTGCAGTGTCAGAGCGACACCAGAAGCGGTCCTAAATGCATCATAACGAGTGGGCAAAGCGTTAGTTAACCACTCAATTTATCAACAGGAACTAACCTGCACACCACACCTTTAAAGTTTCATCCTCGAGCCCGTAGAAATCACGCAGTTGCAGCCATACATCGTCGTTAACAGGACGGTAGAGCGTCTCTCGCTTCTTGTCTCCTTCACTCTTCGTCGACTCCTCCGTACGACGTTTCTTCTTCTGTGGCTTCAGCGACGTGTTCGAGGCAGTAAACTCCGTATCCGACAGATATTTCTCGCAGTTCTTGAGAAAGTGACCTCCTCGCCACACAACTTGCAGACGTAGTCAGATGGTGGTGTAGCCTCCAGTTCTTCCAGTGGCGAAAGACCTTCCTGGAGACCCTTTTCACCAGGTAGATCGGCCACTTTACGCAGCACAGCGATGAAGAATCCACCCGAGTTCTGGTCTGTTGGGATCAGACGAAGTGTCTTGTGTAGTTCATCAGCAATAGCTCCCTGTGTAGGGAACATCGATCGTGTAACACGGTTACCACGGAGGTCCTGGGTAAGTGCTTCGTAGCTATCAAACCATTGGTGGAGGCTTTGGTTTTCATCCTTCTTGTCATCCTTGAACATATGACCTTTGTGCGTCGACTTGGACTTGGAGCGCCAGCCCACACGCCACTTCAATCGACCAGGACGCGCCACAAGACCCGGCATTTTCTTCGAAACATCCAACAGCTCCAAGGATCCACCAGCACGACGCAGTAGTTCCGCCACAACGGCCTCGTTCTCGACAGGATTAAACGAACACGTCGAGTAGACCATGATACCGCCAACCTTGAGCAACGCAGCGCCACGAAGAGCCAACGCTAGTTGCGTTGGGTGTAACGTAAGACCTTGACCAATGTGCCAGTCTTTCCACAACGCCTGGTTCTTGCGTAGAGTACCGTCACC